TATATATATATATATATATATTACACACACACATTAAATGGACTGCATAAAGAGTTGAAATTGAGAAAAAATACCCCCATGACAATATATTTTTATATTATATTTGAACTATTTTCCTACTCAAATAATATCTTTTTATCAATTTTTCGTGTAATATTGAAAAATATCCAATTATTAAACAACAACTAAGAAAATATTTAAGAATATAAATGTGTGAGAACGAGAAAAAAATAGTTGGTAAGAGTCAATACCACTAATGATTCTACAAACATAAAGATCTAAAAGTGAAATGTCATATCAATCTTTTACTCTTTGAAAATAAAATTTATAGTGGATAACATTATAATTAGGATTAAATATTCAAAACAAGAGATGAACTAATATTAAGATCTGAATCAAGATAAAATAAATTATTTTTTATGTTAAAACCAAATAATTAAATCTTTTAATTAATTATTTAGCAAAAGAATCTAATTAAAATATTTTTTAAATTCATCGTACGAGTAAAATTCTTATTCAAGTTTAAGAAAAATCTTAAGATACATAACTTTATTCCATAAAAAGAGCGTTAGAACACAAAGTAAAAAGATTAGTATATTATTAAGAATCAAAATGCTATACAAGTGAATGAGGAAGCACAATCAAAACTAAATCCTAATCAAGAACAAGCTTTCAAGACTATATTATAAAGAGTCGACTCTAGTATAACAAGATTATTCTTTGTAGATGCCTCCGACAGAATCGAAATAATATTTCTACGTCATGCATTACTTGCAAATATCATACAAGAGACATGGTATTGTTAGCAATAATAGCAAGTGGTGTACCAATAACGATTTTATTATGAGGCCACCCACTTTAGATTTGATATACCTCTTCAAACAACTTAAATAACCATCACAAATATATCAAAGTAGAGCAATGGTGCTAAATTTATAAGAGAAGCAAAATTGATAATATGGGATGAAGCACTTATGGTAAAGTGTCAAACGATTGAAATAATTATCCGGAGTTCTTATTAATGAACCGTTTGGTGGAAAATTAATGGTTTTGGAGATGATTTATGTCAAGTACTACTAGTAGTTCCAAAATCGACAAAAATATAGACTGTAAAAGTTAGCTTGGTAAAGTTATACTTCTCACCTCAAAAGAAAAAGATTCAACTGACAAGAAATATAAAGTAAGAACAAATTCAGTATTCAATGTCTTTTTGCTTCGTGTCGGAAACGAAGAAGAGCATCCAGTAAAAGATGATTTGGTTTTTTCTGAACACTTGGTTATCAATCCTAATGATAATTGTCACGACCTAAAACCCACTATAGGCCGTGATGGCGTCCAACGTCGCTGTTAGACAAGTCAACGGTGAACTACTAATTTAATTATTTATTTTATTATTTTTTGAAATCATAAATCTTATTAGATAGGGAAATCAATGCATTAAAAATTATAGATACATATAATTTAAATGAAATATAAAGTAAAAGTGTGTCAATGGTAAGCAAAACCATAAACAAATTCTAGAACATCCCAAAACTCGGTGTCATAAGTGCACGAGCATCTATTAGGAAGTAAAATAACAATACAACATATGTATGGAATACAAGATAGACATGATAAAGTAAATAATTATGATGGAGACTCTGCGTGTTGCGAATCGTAGCATGGAATGCAGCTTACCATAAAGTCCCCTCAGCAGTTGCGCCTACGCGCCCAAATGACCACCAAATGAACCTGTCAGATCATGCATATTTAGTGCAGAAGTGCAGCATGAGTACGTAAATTAACGCATACCCAGTAAGTATCTAGCCTAACCCCGAATAGGTACTAACGAGGGATCGACATTGACGTTTACTAGTGGTCCAGTAAATCAAATACAATAAAGTAGACAAGTATGAAACATGATAAATAAACAATGAGAACAGATATAGGCAAATAGTACGGTTGATAATTAAGGACTTTGTAACAATTCCTAAGTCCGAAACTAATAAAACAACGTGCAAACCAATCAAAACATACTCCAATACTTGTAATTTAATAATTTGTAACAATTTCTAACTCCGCTCGAAAAGTTAACAAGGTCAACACCCGGGTCCACGTGCCCGGATTCCAAATATTATCAAAAATAAGTATTACCCTTAACTTATATAGTATATATCCAGAAAATCATCCAATTTCATCCACGAATTGAACCTAAAATCAAGGATTTACCATTTCTCAACTTTATGGCTCAAAACTCCAATTTCTACAATCTAAAAATGCACAAAATAATAATCATAGAAAAAAATCAAAATAAAGGTCAGATATTTACCCCTTTGTTGAGATGAGAACAACGCCGCAGAAATCACCTCAAACAAAGTTTTAGAACTCAAGATATGCTCAAAATACTAAAATTTTCGGTTTAAAACACCATCCATATAATTTTTGTTCATCGCCTTCGCGGGAGACCTTCACGTTCGCGTTGACCGGTCAACCCATAAATCTTTCTTCGCGTTCGCGGAACCTCTCTCGCGTTCGCACCAAAAACCAGCAATCTTTCCCAATATGGAAATGGGCATAATTCTCTCACACGACCTCGAAATTCGACGATTCTTGTTGCTATGGTTCCGTAATTATGATATGGATCAATCTAATCACAAATCAAATAATGTTTTCTCTATATAGTACCCTTTATGTCCAGAGAAACGACGTTGGAACATCAAATAAGAGCGCGACACAACCCAAATACATCCGAAACACACCCGAGGCCCCCAGGACTCCCCCCTCCCAATCACACAAACCAGTCCCAAAATATAACACGAACCTACTCGAAACCTCAAATGTCACCAAACAATATCAAAACCATGAATCACACATCAATTCAACTTTCGTCTTCCGAAACTAAGGAATATCCTATTAAATTTGTGTGAAAATAATTTTTAGTATGTTTTTGTTTTGCAAATATAACAAATAAAGTATAAGGACAGACATCCTAAATATTGAACTATATTTACCGCAATATATTTTCTTTCACGAACAACTGTATATTGCACTTTCAAGAGAGATATTAAGATCGACAATAAAAGTTTTGGTTAAGGCTGAGCAATTGAGTAGTGTCATTGCTAGTTGAGAAATTTATAAAATTGTTGCAAATAAAAGCATGGTCTTGAATAATGAGACAATTATTCTGATAAAGTCCACAATGGGAATAACTACACTTGTACTATCAATGGATCACATTCGAGGGAAAACCCAATATAGACTCTCAATTTGGGTTTAGACTCAAAACTGCTGTTAAACTTAAATATATGTTGTAGTACTAAAGTGACCATTCAACATTTTGATTAGAAGTTGCAAAAACTGAAAAAATAAAAATAAAAAACTTTTCTTGTTTTGGCGTTTGGTTATAAGTAGATTATTTTTCGCCAAAAAAAAGAAACTGATTTTTTCTTTTCTTTTTTTGGAAAACTCTTCTTGAAAAGGGAGAAACGGAAAGAAGATGGTATGTTCTTTCTCTGCCTAAAAGTAAATTCACAAGCTAGTTGATTAGCTAGCGTTGACAGACAGAAAAAAGAAAGAAGAAAGAAAAAAGCAACCGTTAATATTTAGGGGAAAGATTGTTAGGTATTGACGCCATCTGTCAAAAAATTATATTAAATTAATTTTTTATTTTATTATATATAAATATATATTATGTTGAATTATTTATTCACGAATTTAAAACTGTGTAATTACACAAATTCTATCCAAATCTAATGCTAATGTGGTTTTCCAAATAGACTCTTGCCTATTCTTTTTTTACATTATTGCTTTTTTTTTTTAGTTATTTATATTAGAAAAATATTATAAAATTAATATTCTCGATTAAATAAATCAAAAAATTTCAATTTTATTGTTAATTATGGGACGTTTCTATACAAAAAATAATTCAATTTTGATTTGTTACTCCGTCATGTTTAATATTATGGTACAAAACTTAATCTAAAAGAAGGAAAAGATCCGGCATATAAGCTAAAAACATATAACATACAAAAAATATTTTTCATATTTTATTATATCCTTTTACATGCCATTCCAGTTTTTATAAGAGTGTGATTAGAAAATAAAATAAAATTTTAAATGAAAGAGGTTGTAAATAGAAATATATGTCATTTTTTCGATGGATAAAAAAGAAATAAATTTTAATTAAAAGTTAACCAACAGATTTAAAAAGGTGTACATGATTCATCTGTATGTCTATGTATTTAGATAGAATTTACTCGATCTAATGAAAAGTAAAAAACAATTGGTGCAATATTTCAAACTGGCACATCTTGACTCGACAAGTTATAAAAAAAAAGTGTAAAAAATTAACTTGTCGTCTACAAATTTTGTTTACCACCTCTTTAATTTTTAAATTTTATTACGCTTTATAATCATACTCTTATAAAATTGGCATGGCATGTAATAGGACATAATTAGATATGAAAAATAGTTTTGGTATGTTATATGTTTTTAGCTAATATGCCGAAACTTTTCCTTTTTTAGATTAAATTTTGTACCATATTATTAATTATTAAACACGTCTACAAACTATAAAAAAAGAAATAGTGTAATTTAAATATAGAATCTCCTATATTATTATAAAACAATTAACATAATTTGTAAGTAAAGTTCCCTTTAAAAAAAAAGTTACTCCATCACTCTCCTTTAGAAGAAATCCAACAAAGAGGAAAAAAGAAGATTTTTTTTTTTCTTTCCATTTTTTTCATCACAGATACAACAACAACAAACCCAGTAGTTTCCCACTTGTGAATTTTTTTCATCACAGATCCGAGCCCTAATTCATATACAGATACATACAGATTCACATACACACACAGTCATCGGCAATTGATCGCCCGTCAGTCCATCCGTCGCCGGCGCCGATTTCGTTAATTTTCTGATTTTTGCTCTCGGAGATCTTTGAATTTTACCCAGTCGAAAAGTCTAGAATAAGAAAAAGACGGGGCCTTGTTTTAATGAAGTTCGGTTTAGGGTTTTCAGAAGTTGATGGATGATCGATATGCCTCAACTGCGTAGCGGTGTGCGCAGAGGCCGTCGACCGATTGCTTCAATCGAACCCGAAAACAACAACAGCAACGNACGAGAACAACGAAAACAAGAGGGTTGCACGGAGAACAACGAGGACGAGGAGAGCAGCAGGTGCGGGAAATAGAGCCGTTGGAGGAAGGAAGAAGAAGAACAACGTTAATAACGAAGAAGAGGTAATTAAGGAAGTTGTACCTGTAGTAGTGGTAGAAGATGACGAGGAGGAGAATGCTGTGAAGAAAACGACGTCGTTTAGGACTGGTGAAGCAGAGGAGGATAAGGATAGGAAGAAGGAAGTAGAGGAAGAAGAAAAAAAGCAGCAAATGGATGAGTACGGTAGTGGCGGCGGTGGAAGCGGCGGTGATAAGGGTTTGGGAGCTGAGGAAGAAGGTAGCACT